CGAGCGCCATGTGGCGATAGTAAATGATATCGAGGAAGTGCAGATTGAACAGCGCAGCTACTTGTGCAGGACCGAATTGCTTTCTTATCGGATCGGATGGCACCAGAATCAGGCCGTATCGCTGAATATCATTCGGTCCCACCCCCCCCATCAAGCCAAACTGCGACTCAGTCTGGTGCCATCCGATCCGATAAGAAAGCAATTCGGTCCTGCACAAGTAGCTGCGCTGTTCAATCTGCACTTCCTCGATATCATTTACTATCGCCACATGGCGCTCGTGGCACTCAGTTTACCAGCCAGCCAGTCATCCCCCATCGCTGCGGCAGTCTCTTCGATATCTTTGTTTAATTCTACAAGCTGTCGCAATTTCCGGTCGCCATCTAATGCACATATTGTCTTGGCCACGCCTCTTACGGCTACTCTAATTGGTCAACGTCAGGTTTTCAGCCCGCCCCCTTCCGTTGCACCGGGCCTTGCAAGTGTGACACCGTAGTCCCGGATTTATTACATCTGCATGTGTTTTGTGAGCTTCTCGTTGATCACATCGTTCTTTAGCGATTTTTTGAAGATTACTGGCAAAGGCTACCTTTGTTAGAAAAGTAGAGCTCTGTTGCGACTGTCATTCCGGTAGTGGTCATCACCCAGCTCTTCTCTGCTTCCATTCTTTTCCAAGTTCATCTGTTCTGAGCCATTCTAACCAACCCTAAAGTTTTCTCAGGTAGGAGCGCCCCATAGGTAAATTGGGAAATGGGCACAAGCCTAATGGACCTATGATTCACTGATTTATATTTCTCTTCTCTTTTTATTGTTTCTTTCTTCTCTTACTACTATACACTCTCTCATACCCAGTCATTCTTGAGCTCTGAGCTTGCCCCTAGTCGAATTCAAATTCAATTGACATACACATTCATCGCCAGCGCCATCAACTCGCGGAGGTGTTTCAGGAGCCGACTTACTGAAGGTGGTTCGTCTGAGGGCAAGGCGAAACGGACCAGTCACCCTTGGTTTATTTTCACACGTCCTTCTCTTTCTGCTATATTTTTTTCCACCGGTTCAATATAGTCTCTTTTATGTACATTGAATTGTTTATTGAATTGTCATTCCCTTATTAAAACCCCTCTCTTTCCATTTTTCTTCGCAATTACGTATCTTTCATTGATTTCATGGATCTGGTAGAAAGCAGCCCG